GCTTGTTTTTACTATTTAATTGAGAGAAATACCAAAAAAGGAAATTACCACTGACTAAAATTTACTTTTACTACTTAATTTAGAGAAATACGAAAAATAGGATATTACGTTTCACTAAAACTTGGTTTTACTACTTATTTTGTAAAATACGAAAAATATGATACTATGACGTCTGACCAAAGCTTGTTTTTACTACTTAGTTGAAAGAAATACCAAAAATAGGAAATCATATGTCTGACTAAAATTTGTTTTACTACTTAATTTTGAACAATACGAAAAATAGAATATTACGTCTGATCCAAGCTTGTTTTTACTACTTTATTGAAAGAAATACCAAAAATAGGAAATTATGTCTGACTAAAATTTGTTTTTCTACTTAATTTAGAGAACAACGAAAAATAGGATATTAAGTCTGACTAAAACTTGTTTTTACTACTTAATTTAGAAAAGTACGAAAAGTTGGATAAGAAGTCTGACTAAAATTTATTTTTACTACTTATTTTAGAACAATTGGAAAAATTGAATCTTACGTCTGACCAAGTCTTGTTTTTACTACTTATTTTGGAAAAATATGAAAAATAGGATTTGACATATGTGCCACTAAAACTTGTTTTTACTACTTAATGTAGAAAAATACTAAAAATAGAAAATTATGCCTGACCATAGCTTGTTTTTACTACTTTATTTAGAGAAATACCAAAAAAAGAATATTAAGTTTCTCTAAAACTTGTTTTCACTATACTTATTTTGGAAAAACACGAAAAATAGGATATAAAGATTGACTGATATTCATTTTTACTAATTAATTTAGAAAAGTACGAAAAGGAGGATATGAAGTCTGACTAAAATTGATTTTTACTACTTAATTTAGATCAATACAAAAAATATAATATTATGTCTGACGGAAACTTTCTTTTACTACTGATTTAGAAATCCTATCATAAATTTAGTATTATGTCTTGAAAAAGCGTAGTAACTACTGATTAAGAAAAAGAACCGAGTATTTCCTTTTAATAGAAATTTTAAAAAATTACGAAATTACGAAATGACGAAAAATTAAATTTTAAATATTTTTCAGAAATATCTCATTTTTTCTCATTTTCTCAATAAAATTACTCAAATGCTAAAAAGGAAAATTTAATTCAAATGTAACATATATCAATATATCTTAATAATGCGATTGACATAAAAATTAAATTAATGTTTACTAATAGATGGAGAGGATTGAAATTTCACATGCACATGCAAATATACCTTAAATACTCTCTCATACCATTCAAAATCGATTCAATACAATTCGGCTTCGTTAAACATTCATATATGTATAAGTAGGTAAACAGTAAACACGAATGAAATATACTGGTCCATGAACGATAAAACATATCCATTCGCTTGTTTCTTTAAATAATTACATAATTTCGAAAAATAAATTTTGCGTATTTTCATTAAATACATTATTTGATATTCAACTCAGGTAATGAGTTACTAATAGAGTTTAACCTGTTAGATTTATCACATCAAATTTATTAATATTCTGCAAATAATATTCGTTAATATTGTTAATTAATAATTTTATTCTACAGAAGAAAATGTGCTAATAAATTTCAATCCAATCATGTTATATATATGCTTTATATGTATATAGAATCATTATCTCGTTACATTTTACATTTTATGATTATGATGTAATTAAATACTGATTTTTTAATTTTTTTACACTTATACTATTAGAGAGAAAAAAGTAGAATAATTTTTTTTAAATTATAAAATTTACTTCATTATTTTTATGAAGATATATTTTTTTCAGTTTGAAACGAACAAAAAAGAGTAAATTTCTAATGTTTAGGATTGAGTCTTCTGTGATAGTAATATTAGTAATGACTCTCTATTGTCTCTCATGGGAGGGATCAATTAATATAAGCTTCTGCAGTAATGAATTTTAGGCACTATTGGCTATTAATAGAATAGGCTACTGATACTAATAGGTTATGGATACTAATAGGTTACATCATGGGCTCTGGCTAATAGAATTCTTAGCAGAATTATACGCTTCAATAGCCGAATGAACTCATATTGTGATTATCGGGGTAGCTTTTAGCTTTATAGACTTTCGAAAATACTCCTGGTGGTATATGTAATCTAAAAGAATATTGGAGAGTATTTATAAACTTTCAATTCATCTCAAAATTCGTATTCAATATCGCTGGTGAATCGCTTTTTTGTCTTTCAATCAACCAAGAGATATTTCATTTCTCTTCATAGTATATTTTGCTTTGCGTTCGGAATTAAAAAATTGATTAATTTAATACTCTGAAAGTGAATTTTCGAAAATTTCGAGAATCAAATTAAATATATAATAATATGATGATTCTGTCTATCATTTATTCTGTCCGCAGTATGAAGTTAGTTTTTTGTGTACCTATGCTTTTTTTTCTTTAAAAAATATTTTTTGACAAATCGAAAATATGCAAGTATTTTTTCATGATTTATTATAAAATAATATTAGAAATTAGAAAACTTAAAAAAAATTATGAATAATAAATAGAAATTATACCCATTTTGTTAATTATATGCTTTTTTTCAATAACAAATTTCGTTTGGCTTATCTAAACTAAGCAAATTTTTCTCCTTTTTATTTATAAAAAATAAAAAATTGTTAATTGTTAGAAAATTATGATTAAGAAATAGGAAATAAATACCAATTTTATGCATAATTTTTATTTTTCAATAACAATATTGTTTAGAAACTCATTCTTTTCTTTTGGGGAAAAAAATCACATATTCCCGTTTCTCAATGTTTTTGGAGAAAATTCTAAATTTTCATAAGGAAATAATTTGCATCATTTCTATTTCTTAATTACAATTGTTTTAATAAAATTCAAAGTTTTTGAAAAATAAAGAAAAAAATGTTTATAAATTCTATTTGTCAATTAGAAATTTTAATTGAGAATGTAATTGCAATTTTTATATGAATCTTTAAAAAATAAAGGACAAAGGAAATAATTCAAAAAGAAGAAAGAATTATTATGACAAAAGAATTATTGAAATTTTTAAATTGGAATAATTTTAAAAGAATTATTGAATAATTGAATGTTTCTTAAAATTTAATTTTCATAAATAATTTTATCAACAAATGTTTAAATAATTGAATTTTTTTGACGAATTGTAATAAAATTTTTAGAAATAATTACATTTTTCAAAGATTTCAATTGAAATTGTATTAAAAATAATTTAAACTCTGAGTTTTATTATTTATGAAAATAATTAAATTTTTAAAAAGAATTTTATTATTATTTATAAAAATAATTGAATTTTTATACAGAGTTTTATCAACAAATTTTAAAATAACTAAAATGTTTCAAAGAATTTTAATTTTAATTTTTTTAAATAAAATTTTTTTTAAATAATTGAATTTTTATAAAGAACTTTAACAATATTTTTAAGAAATTAAATTTAAAAAAAAATTAAATTGCATTTTTCGAGGAATTTATTTAAAATTATATTTAAAAAAATTTATTAAATCCTTCGATGAATTTATTAGTTATAAAATTAATTGAATTCTTGCAACGAATTTTGTTGTTTATGAAAATAATTGAATTCTTTGGTAAATTTTATTAAAATAGTAGACAATAAAAATAATTGAACTGCTACAAAGAATTTCATTCTAATTTTTGAAAATGAATTTAATTCAAGAAATTGAATTAAAAATGTTTTTAAAATAATTATTAAATTCTAATAAACTAATTATATGAAATTTTTTTAAGTAATTGAATTTTTTTAAAGAATTTGAATAAAGTCGATTACAATTGCATTGAAAATAATTGAAATTCTGCGATGATTTTTATTTCATTAATAAAAATAATTAAATTTCTAAAAAGAATTTTATTATTTATGATAATAATTGAATTGTTGCGAAGTAATTTTTAAAAAAATTTGTAAATAATTGAATTCCTGTGAAATTTTTATTATTTTGAAAATAATTTATATATATGTTTGAGTAGAATTTTATAAAAAAAATTTTTAAATAATTGCTTTCGTTTGGAAATTTTTTTTAAATAATTGAATTTCAGAGAAGAATTTTAATACCTACTTTCGAAAATAATTGAATTTCTCCAATAATTTGTAACTTCACCTAAATTCAATTTTGTTTTTGTGTTCTTAACTAAAATTCTTCTATAAATCCATTATTCTCAATAATTAATTAAATGTGAATTAAAAAATTGAACTAATTTCAAAAGAATTTTAATTATTAAAATTTTTCAAAAATTAAAGTTCTTTAAAATTTTTTATTAAATTTATTCTAAATTGAAATTTTAGAAAATTTGAAATTCAAACCGTTTGGAATTCATTTATTTTTGAAAATTGTAAACGCAACTCTTTTAAAATTCAATTAATTTTGAAATATTTAAGTAAAATTATTCATTTAGTAATTTATAAGTCATTATTTTATGATAGTTGTTTAAGATTTAGGTTATTTAAAAAGAAATTTTTGTCAGAAATAGAAAAAATTCAGCGGGTTTTTTTTAGAATTCGTGGTAATGTCATAGCTTATGAGGCAAACAAAGAGATACAAAAATTCATAATTTTCTTATGAATTATAAAAATTAAATTTTTTCTACTACTTTTAATAAAAATCTCTGATTTTACCCTAAATTCCCTGTATCAGAATATATGATTATTAACAGTAATAATAATATTAAAACTATATTCCAGTTCATATTTTATTTTTATGAAAATAAATTTAAATTAAAAATTTGTTCGTTCTATTATTTTTAAAATTGCTAATTTTAATTAAAGGAGTGAGTAAAAAGTTAACCGCGCGCAAATTGTTGCTAGTATATGATTATTATAGTTATAATAGAATTAAAACTAAAATCCAATTCATATTTTATTTTTATGAAAAAAAAATTTGAATTAAAAATTGTTAAATTCTATTATTTTATTTATTTTTAAAAATAATTGATAATTTTATTTTTTCAACGATTTTTTTCGTTTTTCAGGTCTCTTCCTGACGTCACAAGGTCGTTTGGCGGAGGCTGCAGAGGAGCAATTAAGAGCTGCGGTGTTATCACAGTCGGACTATGACATGGCAGTTGCGGCAGCGTCGGCCCTACGTCGTGTCGATCGTCGCGAGGAGGCTGAAATTTGGTACAGACACGCAATGGGCCTGAGGCCGAATGAGGCGCGAAGTCACACAAATCTTGGCGCCATTTTGCATCTTAATGGCAAATACAAGCAAGCCGAAGTAGCGTACAGAGAGGCCTTAAGATTACAACCGGGCGACGCCACAACAATGACCAACCTTCACAAATTAGCGACACTTCTTGCGTGACCCAAAAATAGTCGAAAATTTCGACCTCTTCAATGTTCGCGACTAATTCGACCTCCTCTATTTCACTTTGAAATAAACAAAGACGACATGGAGATTCGATGACAGAAATGTCATCGTCATTTCATCAACAACCAAGGGAATCGATAATCCTGCAAAAAAAAAAAAAAAAAAAAAAACACAAACCAAACAGGAAATTCATTCACGGAATGGCTCACATCGATTACGCCATCCGTTTGTATGGAATGTAAAGAATAAAGCTTCATTTATTTTTCTCTATAAATATAATCTGACTTTCTCATTAACAAGTTTATCCCATTTCCTTTCAATTCACAGCTTCATTTAGGATTAAGTAAACAGTGGTGAGAAGAGGAAATTAATTGCTTTGTATTTTCTAATGGGGAAAAACTCATTTACAAAGTAAGGTATACATATAATTGATTAACCAAATTCGAGGGGAGAAAAAAGAAACATTGACATTTAAAAGCAGTTCATTATTTTTTTTTTTATCAACTAATTGACATTTGAAAATAAAAAAATTTAGTATTTATTAGTTCAATATACATTGAGAACAAAATATTGAATCAATGATACATGCCGTTTATTGCGACAAATATTTTTTTAATTAAAACAAATACTTTTAGTACATTGCTTAAAACTTGTTTAAACTTTAGTTTTGATGCTTTTACTTTGGAATTTGGAAAAATGAAAAAAGGAATTTTTTGTTTAGCGAAAATAAAGTAATTGACAAACCTAAAAATCCCAGTCACAAATTTCATAAGAATTAAAATTCATTTCACAAATATCGTCCACCATATTGGATCCGACATTTTGAATTTTTTAAATATGATTTCTGACTCGTAATTTTTGACAAATTCTTTGAAAATAATTTTTTTATCATTAAATTCTTTACTCCTATTAAAACAATTGGATTGCTACAAAGAAATTCAATCTAATTTTTGATAATAAAATTCAAAAAATTTAATTAAAAATGTGTAGAAAATAATTATTAAATTCTAATAAACAAATTATATCAAATATTTTTGAAGAATTTCAATAAAATGTTACACAGCCGCAGACTAGCGCAGAAGATCATAATTGTCATGAAAATACTTTTAAATTAAATTCTTTTCAATTCTATTATTTTTTATGGACTGCTAACAACCTAAGTTGTTGCTGGAATCTTGCTGAACAACAACCTTGACGATAGAAAAATTTATTGTAAATTTTAAGCGCTTTTAAAAAAAAGTAACCTCAGCCGCAGACTAGCAGAAGATCATAATTGTCATAAAAATACTTTTAAATTAAATTCTTTTAAATTCTATTATTTTTGATGGACTTTCAATAATTGAGTTTTTGATTTTTTGAGCATTAAAACATTAAAATTTAACATTTTTGAATTTGTATGTAGATCTTTGTAATAAAGCTTGAAAATAATAAATTATTTTGTTGATATTTGAGCTTAATTTTGTTTTAATCATATAGAAACAATTTTAAAATTTATAGTTTAAAGGTTTGGTGGTAAGAAATTATTTTAAAGCTTTTTAAATTTTTATTTTTCTTAAAAATTGGTAAATTTTAACATCCATTCGTAATTTTGTAAAAATTATTTATTTTGCATATACAAAAAAATTGGCAAATAAAAAAATTGATTTTTACAATTCTTGAAGCATTTTTTTAAAAATAAAACTTTGTTTCTAGGTTGCTAATTATTTATTATTTAAAAAATACATTCTAATTAAAAGACCTCAAAAATAATTGTATTGTAATCTTAAAAATAATTTTGCAGTAACATAATAGAGAATAATTTATCTAGAAATGAATTTTCATGATAAATTCTAAAATAAATACTTAAAGAATTGAAACTTTCAAAATAATTTTAGAGAACAATAATTGAAAATAATTTATTTGAAAAAGAATTTTTGTTAAAAACCATAGAAAATAATTGAATTGAAATCTTGAAAATAATTTTCAAGAAAAATAATTGACAATAATTTATTTAGAAAACAATTTGAGTGAAAAATCATAGAAAATAATTGAATTAAAATCTTGAAAGTAATTTTGATAGGTAGTAAATAATTTATTTATTTATAAAAGAATTTTAGCTAAAAATCATGTAAAATAATTGAAGAATTGAAATCTTGAAAGTTATTTTAGAGAAACATAATTGAAGAATTTAAATCTTGAAAATAATTTTGGTGAACAATAATTTAAATAATTTAGTTTTTAAAAGAATTTTAGCTAAAAATCCTAGAAAATAATTGAAGAATTGAAATCTTGAAAATTATTTTAGAGAACAATAATTAAAAATAATTTATTTTGAAAAGACTATTAGTTAAAAATCAGAAAAAATAATTGAATTGAAATCTCGAAAATAATTTTAAAGAAACATAATTGATGAATTGAAATCTTAAAAATAATTTTTTGTGGACAATAATTTAAATAATTTACTTTGAAAAGAATTTTAGCTAAAAATCATAAAATATAATTGAAGAATTGAAATCTTGGAAATTATTTCAGAGAACAATAAATAATTGAAAATAATTTTAGTTAAAAATCCTAAAAAATAATTGAATTGAAATCTTGAAAATAAATTAAAACAAAAATAATTGACAGAATAATTTGTTTTGAAAAGAATTTAGTTAAAAATCGTTTTAAATAATTGAATTAAAATCTTGAAAATAATTTTTAAAAAAATTAATTGCTATAATAATTTGTTTTAAAAAGAATTTTTGTTTAAAATCGTTTTAAATAATTGAATTAAAATCTTGAAAATAATTTCGAAGAAAATAATTGAATTAATTTATTTATAAAAGAATTTTAGCTAAAAATCATAGTAAATAAATGAATTGAAATATTGAAAATAATTGCAAAGAAAAATAATGGATACAATAATTTATTTAGAAAAGGAATTTGAGCTAAAAATCACAGAAAATAATTGAAAAATCACCTATATGTCAACTTACTTGAATACAGAAATTATTGTTACAAAAAAATTCAATAGCATTGTCGCTATTGAGTAATCAATAATTTTTTTTCCTGTGAACTAAAAGTCTAAATGTAAAAATCAATTTTTTTGGTCATAAAGTCCTTTTTCTCAGACGTGGTCACATAAATCTTTTTTTTAATTATAATAAAGCAAGTAAAGGAAAAATGCAGAAATGAAAAAAAATTTCAATTTTCAAGAGAGAATTCCTTTATTGACAATATGCTGAATTTCTACAGCGGATTTTCCTATAACATTAAAATTTTATTTAAATTCTTTTATTGTACTTTCGATTTCTCATTTATCTCTCGGAGTGAAAATATTATTTTAAAAGTTGAATATAATTCATTATAATTTTCAAGTGGAACTTTGGAGAGCGCAAACACTGACAATTTAAAAAACGATAAAACTAATTGAAGGCGTGAAAAATTGGTAATGAATATGCATAGGCCGAGGTGGAAATCATCTTAATTGGATTGATTCGCTCGAGATTATCTCGGAGCACGATTCGCAGTATCAGCGTTGATACTCAACTCTCCACACCACCTCTATACATATAACTTGCCACTCGACCGTTCTATCCGGCACGAAGAGCTGCTCCATTAATATCGAATCTATTTGCACGAAGGTACCGACTGGAATATTTAAGTTTGCACTTTAAATCACGCTTTCCGTGGGAGCGAACCCCGTCCGCGGACCACCTGTCGCTCGCGACACTCTCTCTCTCTAGGCAAACACTCTCTTGGCTTTAACCTTTGTTCCTCTTCCTTAAGTTACTCACCTTTGCCCTTCATTTTACACACACATTTTATATATCTTTATATACAATACCAGTATAAAGTCCTTTGAGCGACAGATTTTGCGATACAGAATCTTTCTTTTCAAATAAAAGGAGAGGAAGAAAGCCGGAAAATCCAGAGGTGTCGTAATGCAATTAGTGAGAACATTCTTGAAAAGAAATTCATTTACGAGAAAGCAGGATTTAAAATTAACAAATTGAAAAGAGTTTTTTCTTTTTTTCGAGAAGAGTATATAATAAGGGAAGAGAGCAAAAAAAAAAAAAGAAAGAATTGTAGAGATTACGGTTTTTTGTACTAGTTTATATATATATAGATAAAAGATTAAAAAAAAAATTTCTTTTTCCGAGAACAAGAACTTTTTTTCTTACTATACAACTTTTTTTTCTACTTTCAAACTTGAACAAGTTCCTTTTCTTTCTTTCATCATTGTTCTAACGCTACGAAAAGAAATAGAAATTATGAGATTTTTTTTTCGTAATTACAATTGTTGCAAAATTTTTCCATAAATTATAGTAAAACTTTTTTAGTTTACGTATTTTCCGCAAACTTACGTCGCATGCTTCCTGCAATATTGCTTGTTGCTTTAAATTTAATAAACATTATAATTTTTATAATTATAATTTTTTTTACAATTCAAAATAATTCATAGTTTATAATTTTAATATTTAATAATAAAATAAAAATAAAAAAAATAAACATATTTAATATTTTTTAAATACGTGATTGTAATATATATTCGACGCAAGCGAAATGCGGAGACAGATTAATAATTTATTATCAAAAACTAAAAATAATATTTTCTATTATAATATAAACATGACCAGGTGCAGGCGAAAGCTGATAATTAGAGTAATCGATAAAAGAAAATAATTTATCAACTATCAACATTTAATGAACCACAAATTCGTAATTATTAGAAATATAGAAGAGTTAATCAATTCCAGTTAAAATCTAGTTTACTTCGTTCTAAATTCTACTTTGAGATAAATTATCCTATTTCTCTTAAAAGTATTGATAATTTTTTAATTAATTAATTATTTTCAATTAATTTTTCAATTAATTTTTCATTTAATTTTTCATTTAATCTTTTGAGTGTAAACTCAAAACAATTTATAGTAGATTTTTCGACTAATTTTTAATTACTCAGCTTCAGTTCAGTAAATCTCCAAGCAAATTGGAAATGTTATATTGACAATCAAAAACGTAATGAAAAAATGTCAATTTAAAAAAATTGGCACTTGACACAAAAACTTAATGAAAAAATTTAAATTTTGAAACATTGGTGTTTGACTCCTTTTGTTGATGCCATTCTTCAGTTCTTTTAACTATAATCTCTGATGGACTGCTAATAATTGACTTCTTTTCTTTTTCAATTCGGTTGCATTACGAAGAAAAGTTGAGACTATTTTGTAATTTAGATTTCTATTAAAAACGAGTATAAAAATGAAATTCAGAGTAATAATTACAATTATTATTATTCGTTCTGCTAGAAAGCAG